TTCCTTCCTTCCTTCCTTCCTTCCTTCCTTCCTTCCTTCCTTCCTTCCTTTTTTTCCTTGCTTTGTATTTATTTGGTACAGGGTCTTGCTACACAGCTCAGAATCATAGTAATCCTCCTGTCTCAGCCTCCCCAGCACCAGGATCCCAGGCCTGCCCCACCCACCATGGTTTGGGGAGTCGGGCCAGCCCGGCATGCGGTACTGAGGATTAAATCCTGGTCCTCGTGCTTTCCACACAGGTACTTAGCTAAGCTATCTTGCTAGCCCCCTCAATCCTTTTCTATTGTTTAAAATTTATTTACCTCTATTAGTCCACGCTTGTAGTACCTGACAGTTACAGTAATGCATTTCGTCCCCTTCCCTTCCCATCGCCCCTCTCTGCCCCCTTCAACTCTTGGTCCCCTTCCCACTCGCAGGAGCTTTACTTCCACTTCTTCAATTCTCTTTCTATCCCTTTTTCTTCTTCTCCTTTATCATCCTCTCCCAGTCCCTCCAGTTCTTTTTTACCTTTGCATTTGAAAAACACCTCTCTACTTCCTATTATGGATCTTTTATTTTGCTCCTCACTTATGCTTCAAGTTTCCCTTGCAATATTTAAACTTGTGTGTCTGATTCATTAAACTTGACATGACAGTAGAAAGGTGCCTCCATGTACCTAAAAATGCCTCCAGAGTGTCCCTCCTGATAGCAGAGGAGCGCTCCATGGTGTGAAAGTACATTTTCTTTATTCATTTAAGGATGAAAATATAGGCTGTTTCCAAGATTTAGCTATCATGAGCTGTGCCGGAATAAACACGGGTGTGCACACATCTCTATAACTCCATGAGTTTAACTCTTTGGGGGAGATACCTGGAAGGGAACAGCAGGGTCAAATGGAACTTCGATTTTTAGTTTCCTGCGGCATCTTCAAACTGATCTCTGTATGGGTTACGCTAGTTTGCACTTCCACCAACAATGTACAGTGGTTCCGTTTCTACTGCATTTGTTATTATTTAGTTTCTGAGCATCGCCTTTCATTGCGGAGGAAGGTGGCATCAGCATTATTTTACTCTCCTTTTCTCTAATGGGCAGCTGTGTGGAAAGTTTTTTATGTGTGTTTACCAACTATACTTCTGAGAAAAGTCTATTCATTTTGATTGCCCATGTTTAAATGGGCCTTTTATTGTTTGAGGAGTTAATTTGTTTGAATTTTTCATTATGACTTTTCATGGTTGTCTTGTGCCACTTTAAAGGTTTACAAAATAAAGCTTAATATTAAATAATGGGGGCCGGAGGGGCCAGGGAGATGGCTCAGTAGACTAAGCGCTTCCCTGGCAAGAGCAAGGGTCTGAGTTCAATCCCCAGT